AGAAATACAAATATCAAAAAGTAAAAAGAGTGTAAAAAGTATCTATAATATCACCACCCTTAAGCAAGGGGGGCGTTCAAAAAATGTAAGCAACAATTTTGACCCCTACGTATTTTTTCCCGATGGGGAAGGCTATATGTATCTAAGACCCCTCCTACGTCAAAAACCGTGCCCCGGAAGATTTAATTTACATGTAGGGAGGGGGGTTGAATGTCCGCAAGAGATACGTCACCCCCGTACACCCCCGTCACGTACTCTACGGATAGGGGGGTGGGGGGGGTAAAAATTTGTTAAATGTCCGCAAGCAGTTTGCAAACTGTTTGTGAGGCGTCTTTGTGGTGATGTAATCAACCTATGTCTGAGGTCCATAGTTCCTTTCAGAAAGTGTTCGAAAAAGAAGGTAAAACTAAGATAGAAAAATGTAACCATCCTACACCTGAGGCCTATAATTCCTGGCAGAAAGTGCTTAAAAAAAGGTAGAGATGAGATAAAAAAAATGTAACCATCCTACACTTGAGGTTCTTTAATCCTTGCAGAAAGTGCTCGAAAAAGAAGGTGGAGATAAGATAGAATCATGTAACCATCCTACACTTGAGGTTCTTTATTCCTTGCAGAAAGTGCTCGAAAAAGAAGGTGGAGATAAGATAGAATCATGTAACCATCCTACACCTGAGGTCCTTAATTCCTTGCAGAAATAGCTTAAAAAGAATGTAAAAATGAGATAGACAGATGTAACCATACTACACCTGAGGCCTTCAATTCCTTGCAGAAAGTGCTCAAAAAAGAAGGTACATATTTGAAAAAAACATCCTATACATAAGGTCCATAGTTCCTTGCAGAAAGTGCTCGAAAAAGAAGGTAAAGCTAAGATTGAAAAATGTAACCATCCTACGCCTCAGGTTCCACAGTTCCTTTCAGAATCAACATGACACATGTGTAGATTGTTATTATATTATGGTTGGAAGGTCATAAGGGGGGCTAAATAGGAACCGTGGCAGAAGGGTGTTTAAGTTCGATCATGCCAGGTACATAAAGGGGATTTTCCATGGGGACCCCATAAAGGTTCATTTGAGGTCCTTTTGAGGTCCATTCGAGGTCTTTTTGAGATCTTTATTTCTATTCTATTGTTTTTTCCATAGGTAGGAGGTAAATTTGAAGACCTTCAACATAAAAATTTTACATTTATTTGAATGAAGTTCAAGGATTTTCCAGTAATTTGAAAGGAATGATACACCTTCTATACCTCTATATTACATGTGGAAATGACAAAAAATGGTGTAGAAAAGTGTAGAATGTATTTGGAAATACGAGGCAATTGGGGACCTACACACTTCCAGTTTGCATTTTTGATTTTCTGCAATTCTGCGGCTATTTGCAGACCTTCACACTATTGTTTTACATGTTTAAATTT